GAGAAGCGACAATTCTGCTGGGATGAAAGTTGCGATATTGCATTCCAGGAGCTCAAGAACCGCCTGTGCAAAACACCTATTTTGGGGTACCCTGATGCGGGCAAGGAATTCATAGTTGACACAGACGCAAGTGATATAGGACTTGGCGGTGTGTTGTCTCAACGGAATGGTGACAAAGAGATTGTGATAGCGTACTTCAGCAAGTCATTGTCAAAGCCGGAAAGGAACTACTGTGTCACAAGACGCGAATTGCTTGCTGTGGTAAAGTCCTTGCAGCATTTTAGCAAATATCTTCTAGGGCGGAAATTCCACTTACGAACTGACCATGCTGCACTGAAATGGCTATTGCAGTTCAAAAATCCGGAAGGACAAGTTGCGAGATGGATTGAACTACTGCAAGAATACGACTTTGTGATCGAACATCGCAGCGGGAAATCTCATGGAAATGCAGATGCATTGTCAAGAAGACCTTGCCCTGAAGATTGCAAGCATTGTACTAGGCAAGAGGGTAAGGAAGTGGTATCTGTGAGGATGCTCAGGACAGACCAGCTCAGCAATGAGTGGAAGGACAGCCTACAACATGCACAGCAGGAAGATTCGGATATTAAGCCGATTCTGGAATGGATGAAGGCCAGTGCTCCTAAGCCCAAGTGGAGCGACGTCTCAGCAATGAGTTCGACCACGAAAAGCTATTGGGCCCAATGGGACAGCTTGCTGATTCAGGATGGAGTCCTGTGCCGTAAATGGGAGAATGGTCGGGGAGACAGGTGTCATTTGCAAATGGTTGTTCCTAAGGCTAAAGTGCCGGATATTCTACAGCTGTACCATAGTAGTTGTTCAGGAGGCCACCTGGGAGTTAAACGAACTCTCCTGAAGATCCGAGAACGGTTTTACTGGGTCCACTGTCGTGACGATGTCGAGGACTGGTGCCGCAAATGTACAAGTTGTGCGGCTGTAAAGGGACCTCAAATTCGTAGTAGAGGCGCATTGAAATTGTACAATGTTGGTGCACCATGGGAGAGGATAGCCATTGACGTTGCGGGGCCGTTTCCAGAAACTGAAAGTGGTAACAAGTATTTCATGGTCGTGATGGATTACTTCACTAAGTGGCCAGAAGTCTTCGCCATTCCAAATCAAGAAGCTTCAACCGTTGCAGATAAACTAGTTCATGAAGTCTTCTGTCGTTTTGGAGTACCTTTAGAGATTCACAGCGATCAAGGAAGGAATTTTGAGTCTCAAATATTCCAGGAAACTTGCCGAGTTATGGGTACTCAGAAAACACGAACAACTTCTTACCACCCACAATCTGATGGAATGGTAGAAAGATTTAATCAGACATTGGAGTGGTACCTAGCAAAAGTTGTGGAAAAACGGCAACGAGACTGGGACAGGCACATACAACCGTTTTTGTTGTCATATCGAAGCGCTGTTCACGAAAGTACATCAGTGACACCAGCTTTCGTAAACTTTGGGAGAGAATTGCGGCTGCCTGCAGACCTGATCACTGGAATACCACCTGATGCCCCACGCAGTATAACCGATTATGCAAATGACTTGCGGAACAAAATGAATGACATTTATGAGCACGTCAGACAGACGGGCCAGCAAACGTCTGAGAAGATGAAAACACGGTATGACCGCAAAATGAACAACAAGGGGTTTGATGAAGGTTCACTAGTGTGGTTACACAATCCAGTTCGCAGCAAAGGGAAATCTCCTAAGCTTCAAGCTAAATGGGACGGACCGTACCGGATTGTGACAAGGATCAATGACGTAACCTACCGGATACAGAAAGGTGCCAGAGGTACTCCTAAGATTGTCCATGTGGATCGACTGGCGCGTTATTATGGGGCCAATAATGCTCGGGACGAGCATGTCTTAGGAGGGGGCAGTGTTACGCGCCACTATTAATGTCTTGTACATGGCAACACTAGTTACACTAGCGCCCCCTAGTGTCGAGTAAATGAAAGTATTGCGCGCCACTATTAATGTCTTGTACATGGCAACACTAGTTACACTAGCGCCCTCTAGTGTCGAGTAGCAGAACTAGGAGAGTCGAGATCCTTCCAGAAATTTCGGGACCGATATGTACTCGAACATTCTAGATGTCGCTACAGTAGAAGGTTCTGGAAACTATCTGAGGCCCTATATAAGGCCGGTATAGACCACGACCGGGGCAGTATTGAATTGGCGATACAAGAGAATACTTCGAAGCGAAATAACGGCGAACTGTGTTTTATTATTAGTGTGTTTTAAGGTGTAATTAGTATCCGTAATTAAAGTGTCAATTTTGGTAATTTAATCGGCAGTTTTTAATTGTCTCGAACCTCAAGCTCGTAACAATATTATTACATCTCGCTTCCTTATAGCCGCCAAGGCCGTCCACACTACGTCAAAAAGGGGTAGTGACGGAAAAATCTTACACTTTTCTATCCGCCAAATTCGTACCGTCCGATAAGGAACTTCGTTCCAAAAAAATTCCGCGATGGAGAAGATGGAGATCTGCCTTAGTTTGATTTTACCATTGTTTATTACGTAAACCTAAAAACAAAATATAAATAAAAATGTTTATTTCAATTATGTACATAAAGCTTTAAGATACAGGGTTTGGAGAACACCTTTTAATCAAAGAGATGCTTGTGTTAGGTGACTCTGCTCTTCCACTTAACATTATAGAGTGTATGTAATTGGAAAAAAAAGAATAAAAGAAAAGAAAGTAGAAATACAAAAAGGATAAGGAGCGCACTTGTGTGTGTGTGTGTGTGTGTGTGTGTGTGTGTGTGTGTGTGTGTGTGTGTGTGTGTGTGTGTGTGTGTGTGAGAGAGTTTGTGTGTGAAACGTGTATTGCATAATAAGTATAGGTCCTGCAACTGTATTGAAATTGATTTATTTTTTATAGGAACAAAGGTGACACAAAGTCTCGTGAGAGAATCATCCAGTACATACTCCAAGTTATGTAAAAAAAAAAAAACAAACTGCACACAAAGATGGCTTATAGAAAAATGTTTTTGTGACATCAATGACTTTATTAATTTATAGACTGATTTGACATTTTAAAAACAAATATTTGCTTACGGATTTATAATTACCCAATTGTTACGCTAATTTGACATTCTGATAGAATAATTATTATTTGACATGTGCAAACTAGTGTATCTCATTTAATTTACACGGAATCATAATTTACTATTATGTTATATTATGTACTATTTAAATTGTCACCTGCCATATTTCTGCAAATATATGTATAGTTTTTATGGAACCACCTCTGAAGTACATGTGTATTAACTGTACCACCCCTGAGATATAAGCTATTTAATAAAAAAAAAGAACTAACAAAATTGGCTCACTGACGAAGATTTCACGCAATATATACATTTAAAAAAAAACTGAAAAACCGAGTCGAAATGTAAACCACCCAAATGTAAACCTTTTAAGAAGTCTGCTAAAAATATACGGCAACTACTACTTACATATTATTTTTGCAAAGAAATGTAAAACTTAGTTCGAGATAATAATATTCAAAGATGGTTGTAAACTTTATGATTCCTTTTGCATTATTAAAATAAACTCCTATAATAGTGTGGATATAATATATGTTATTTAATTTAATTTCCAATGATCCCCTGGGCGTCGTAAAAGGGAAGGAAGTTAAGCAGTAGATTTGCATCGGCATCTTCCTGATAATAACTCCTCCACATTCATTCTATATTAAAAATCAAAATGTATAGTTACGTTGTCGCCTTCAGTGCAGCTCTTCCACGTTAATTATGTAATTCAATGTCGTCTCATGGTCACGTTAGTAGGTAGTGTATCGGTAATTGGTATTGTTTCCGTGCGAGTGCTCATTGTAATTTAATCAATGTTATCTCAGGTTCCCCTGCCGCTTTATTTTAACTTTGTCGTTACGTACGTCTTTAGGTAACTCTACATACTTAAGTAACTCTACGTAACTCTTCGTACACAGACGGTCTCATTCATAAAGTTAAAGTTTTAGAATAAAGGTAACAAACGAGCGCACAGTCCACTTGATGGTATGTGGATGCCGTGGCCCGTAGATATCTACATTGGATCCTCAATTAAGAATCAAAATGCAGATTCGTTGTCACCCCTGAGAACTAAAGGAAAAGGTTCTCCGGTTCTTTACACTCACCATACGAAACATAGTAACATTGAGCTGTTACTATTTCACGCTGGTAATCTGTGACCTTAATGTAGCTCTAGCAGTATGGCTCTACCACTTAAAAATGTTATATGGAAATGTCTACATTTCTTTGCTCTGTAATGGCGGCGTAAGATACGCAATGACCCCGTCCGGTGGGTGTCCTAAAGGCGGCTGTGGAAATGCCAGAAAAATGTTATAGCTGGCGATAGATGGCGGTGTATCCGTCTAAATTAACTACAGACATAAAATACCCGGACCTTCGCGCGTCACAGGTGCAAGACGTCCGTTACTGCGACTGTTAGTCCGCCTGTGATGCCTGACGATTAACAATATAGTATAAGAAGTATAAATTTCAATAGCACTCAATGATTTCTTATATTTACGCGAACACTACACATTTAAATAAAACTAATTTTACGGATTTTATCGCGTATATTAACTTATTTTACATTACCGACGTTTCAAGCACTTTACAGCAACCATGGTCACGTCCCCCCCGTGAAAGGCATGTTATTGAATTAGATTCTTAATGGGTTACATTTTTATTGAGATCCTATATTTCCTAATAAAAGCAAAAACGTTTTAAATTAAGTAACTTTTTATCCACCGAATGCCGCACGCTTACTTGGTCCTGAACAATTATGCATGCCTCGGAGAAGAGAGCGCTAAAAGCATTTTAACGTATGAAATCTCCGCCTTAATTTGCTCGGTTACTTACAAAATTTAAATAACCTGCCAAGTGCGAGTCGTACTCACGCATGAAGGTCCTGTACGATCATAATACACGGTTCTAGTAGAAGAGCCCCCTTTAATTTTTAATTTATTTGTATTATTTGTCGTTATAGAGGCAATAGAAATTCACATTCTGTGAAAATTTAAACTGTCTACCTATTACGGATCATGAGATACAGCCCGCTTACAGACGGACGGACGGACAACGGAGGCTTAGTAATAGGGTTTCGTTGGTTACCCTTCGGGTACGGAACCCTAATAAAAAGCATTTTTTTTAATAACAACTGATTATAATTGGATGCTGTGGTCCATAAACATTTACATCTATACTCGGTTGAGAATCAAAATGCAGATGCGTCACCCCTGAAGTCTCCGGTCCTCTACGCTCACCATACGAAACGCAGCAGCATTAAGCTGATACTTTACGCTGGTATTTTGTAAGAGCGTGGTCCTCCCCCGATCTAGGTGACCCATTTATGCTACAACGATCATATAGCTGCAGCGTAGCTTTATCTCATATACACCATAAATATCAATATACTTTTTCATTGGTGAGAGACGTAACCCACTCTTCAACACGCATTCTGATTAGCTCACAGAGTAGTCACATCTACGAGTCACCAGCTCCTAATTACACTCAATCTATACAAATAAATAAAATCGAAGTGTCTGTTTGTAATGTCAAAATTACAGTTTTTTTACTAAATGCATATGAAAGTAATTACGGTAACTATAAGAAACAGAAACAGAAACTTTTTTATTCAATATAGATTATAAATAATACTTATTGAAAGTCACTCTTTTGTATAATTACCACTGGTTCGAAAAAAAACCTCTGACCTGGGAAGAACCAGCAAGAAACCCGCGGGACTTTTTTTTAAATAACAGCTTACAATCATGTATGTTACACAAATTAACAACACAACAAGTTAGAAATAGCTTGGTAGCGATCACCTCATTTCCAGGGGTTATTATCATCTATAAATTCATTAATATTATAATATGCAAATAATAATACCTTTTTTATACAAACTTAGTTTAATAAAGTTTTTGAACTTCAGGTCAAATTTTGTATGTTTTCTGGAACTTTGTTGTAAAAGCGTATACATCGCCCCAAGAATGAATTACTGACTCGATGGAGTCGAGTAACTGGTACTACTAGCTTGTGTCTGTTCCTAGTATTTACAGAATGAATATCACTTATTTTTGTAAAACTACTTTTATTTTTGTGTACGTACATTACATTTCCATAAATGTATTGAGAGGCCAAAGTTAATATATTAATTTCCTTAAATTTTTGTCGCAGCGACTCTTTAGGCTTTAAATCATAAATTGCTCTTATGGCCCTCTTCTGTAAAACAAATATAATTTCAGTGTCAGCTGCGTGTCCCCATAGCAAAATACCATACGACATTATGCTATGGAAATAGCTAAAGTAAACTAGTCTAGCTGTTTCAACACTAGTTAGACTTCTAATCTTTTTTACGGCATATGCTGCAGAACTAAGTCTGCTTGCTAGTTTTGATATATGGGGGCTCCATTGATATAACTAAAATACAATTTTTAAAATTTTTGTCTGTCTGTCTGTTTGTTCCGGATAATCTCCGAAACGGCTGAACCGATTTTCACGGGACTTTCACTGGTAGATAGCTGATTTTATAAGGAGTAACTTAGGCTACATTTATTTTAGAAAAAGAATTAGGGTTCCGCGTAAAAAGGTAAAAACCCTAACACGCGGGCGAATTCGCGGGGAACAGCTAGTACGCAATATACGAACTATTTCTTGTTATGTTGTCGGCAAACGTATCTGAAGTGCGATAGTTTTCGACGTGTTAATAAAATTATGTAAATGTCAGTCACGTGGAGAAATACGCGTTTAATTGCATAAATGCATGCAAAATGTATTTGATGAAGCGTTGCTAAAAGGAGACGCGGGAATTGTATTGTATGCGTCTTACTGTGTCGTAAAAAGCGAGTATAGGATATCCCAGAAGATTTTCTTATCTTCACGCACAATCCCTGACGGGGTAGCCAGAGAGAACAGATCGCCAAGTGTCACGATCCTTACAAACCTCTTTCGCTTCTTTCAGATTCATTATCTTCTTCATGCATGCACGTCGAAGTATCCGAGTACTTTTGACCCTACCCTCTTCGAGCAATTTGCTCACATGGCCTTCGAAAGTTAGTCTCGGTCTACCTCGACACCTTTTAATATTAACTTTCGCGCTATATATTTTCTTCACCATTCGGTCTTCACTCATTCGCTCAACGTGCCCAAACCACCGAAGCACGCCCTTATCGATTTTTGTGATAAGGTCATCTTTCAAACCTGCCATATTGCGAATCTCTTCGTTTCGCTTTCAGTCGGCCATGGTTACGCCGCACATTTTACGAAGAGATCGCATCTCCACTGCATTCAACTTACTTTTATGCTTCTTCTGGCATACCCAGGTTTCGCTGCCATATAACAAAGTCGGTACCAACACTGCGTTATGTATTGCAAGGCGTGCACTCTTCGCTACGCCTTGCCTTTTGACTAACGCAGTCAGGGCACCATTGACTTTGTTCCCGGCAGCGACACGCCTGTCCACATCTAAATCACATCTTCCATCCCGGCTAAAAGCACTCCTCAAGTATACAATTTCATTTACCTGTTCTAGACATTCCTGATTTACCCATATTTCACACTTCGTTCTCTCTTCGTCCCTTTCAAATACCAGAACCTTAGTTTTATTGTCATTCAAACGGAGACCTTTAATTTCACATTCCTCTTTCATACACGTGGCTAATGCCTGCAGTTCTGCCTCTGATGGTGCAATAAGCACTGCATCATCAGCATACAGCAGACAATTTACTTTAATGTCACCCAATTTCACACCCAAACAACTATCTTTCAGCTTCTGTAAACAGCTGTCGAGATACAGTATGAACAGCCAGGAAGACATGACACAACCCTGCTTTACGCCCGTTTGGACGTTAAACATGGGTGACAGGTCATGCCCTACCCGCACACAGGCTTTACAGTCACAGTAAAGAGACTGCACAGCCCTTAGCCATTGACCATCCACACCATACCCCGGCAACAGTTCCCACATTTTCTTCCTTACAACCTTATCAAATGCTTTTTTATCAAGATTTTAAATCCTGTTTTATATAACTATTTCGTAATATAACAGATGTAAAATACTCCGAAAGACGACGGGCGCCGCGTCAAGGTGTCTCACGTTTATTTATTAAATTATGCTTTATTTTACACCAAATAAGAGTACAAAAAGGCGGACTTAATGCAACAGGGTACTTTCTACCAGTCTACCTCCAGGCTAAGCAGAGAAGATATTGTGGGTGCAAAGTGCAAACAGCTAAGTTAAAAATATCTATGTCTACATAATATTACCATAACTACATACTAAGATACACATTATAAACATAATTACGTAACGTTTCGTATTGAATAGTAAGCTGATTATAAAATCCTGGCTATTAACCCCTAGTTTTTTTTTATAGGATAAGGTGACAAACGAGCACACAGTCCACCTGATGGTAAGTGGTTGCTGTAACCCACAGACATCTACATCTATCCTCGATTACAAATCAAAATTCAGATGCGTCGTCACCCGCGAGGACTAAGATGGAATGCCTCGTTTCCAGTAAAAAGGGTATCCGGTTCTCTACACTCACTATACGAAACAGAGCAGCGTTAAGCTGCTATTTACGCCGGTTTTCTGTCAGAGCGTGGTTCTTCCCCGATTGAGCCAACCCATTCGTGCTACAACTATACTACTAATATAGCTGCAGCATGGCTCTACCACGTACCCTAGTTACGGGTTACTAGCCCATCGTAGCTATAAGACAGATTAGTAGTAAACTAAGACTTTTATGGGGTGATAATGAAAAATAAGACGAATATATTACTAACTTTCAAGTTTCAAGAAGCGCCGTGTAGTGGCGACGTATGAGAAATCTTATATCATTCCGTTACAACAAGCAGGAGGCGACAAAGGGAAATGAAACAAGATGGTCAGCAGCATCTTCCTTATGGCTCACACTACTCTCCTCGCGCTGCCGCTATGTTGCCCTCTTTGCCCACAAACTGCTCTACTCGCTCAATTAATCTTGACGCTCCGCACTGGGTAGGTCGCGTTTACAACACAATGGATATTGAAACAGAGGTAGCGTGCGCGCTATATGCATATTTAGTATAGCTAATCAATCATATATATATATAATTATCAATGTCATAAAAAGAAATATACATCGTCATCCTCGCCAACAGATATGGTGGATGACATCTATTCATTGCATTTGAACGACGCTTACGTAACGAGCGCTCGATTCGGACTGCGTTCGCGCGAGTAGTATGTGGCCAGCCACTCGCGCTCATATTATTGCCAGTCCTTTAACTCGCTCCCGAAAAACCGGCAAAACGGGGAGCGATGGGCATGACGAGTATTGTGGCCAAACTACGTCTCTACCTCCTTTACTCGCTACTTCCCACGCCGCTCGACGAGTGTGTGGCAGGGGAGGGGGGTTATAGCAAGTAACAATTAAAATAAATAAATATATATAACAAATAAATTTAATATCCTCTCATAGAAGGGATATTACTATTACAATCTATATGGAGGCCTATATTAAGCAATGAACTTTTGAAAGTCTGTGGTAAATGAATGAAAATGAAGTGAGATAGCGTTAGCCGTTTTAAAAGCGACGCGACATATAGAACGAATTAACAATTTTACAATTAAAACAACTCATATCCAATATGTCAAGGTATTAATTTATTTATGTGGTAGACCGATGCTGCGGCTATATTAGGGTCATTGGTCATCGCACAAATGGGTCGGCACGACAGGCGAATGTCCACCCTCTCACAAAATAGCAGCTTGAAACAACAGAATAATAATGCTGCTGTGTTTCGTATGAGTATAGAAAACGTAAAAAGGGTCTTCCCTTTTTTACTAGAAACGAGGAATTTCATCTTAGTCATCAGGGGTGATGCCGTTGTACTAAATTTCTTCACTACGTCGATAAAAAAGTTTCACTTCAAAAAAAAAAAACTAAAAGCTGCTATAATAGCATTTCAATAATTATAACTTTTGACAAAAAGTAATAACCGACTTCAAGTTGCTAAAAAAGAAGTTATTTATTGCTACCCTTAGGGGTGGCAATTTTTCTCCTAATTTATATGGGATTACCCTTGAATTTAATAAAAAAAAGAATCATAGATAAAAAAACATACACCCAAATTGAGAACTTCCTCCTTTTTGAAGTCGGTTAACAAAGATTACATAAAGTACCCTTCAAGAACAATCACAAATTTGTGTTGTGTTTACAAACAGCTCATATAAATTTGATTTACCGCGTGGGGCGTTTCGATTGTGTAAACGACGACATTTCCACCGACGTGGGTTAGGAGGCCTAGCAGGCAGGTGGCGACGGCACGCAGCATGTTGCTAGTGCATCACGCTCAGCTGGGGCACTACGGGTCACGTCTCGTGGGCTATTAGGTAGGCTGCTGTAGACCGATGAGTGCGCATGGTCCGCTCCCCTGGAATAGAAAGGTGTATTGTTAAACTGTAAACAATAATAATGTCCACACCGAATTTCATTCACGGCGTCCAGTCTCAACGGAGACAAACCTCTGCGCAGGACAGGATTATAGTCCGCAAGTGTATGAGAGAAAACACAGGTGCACTCTATTTCCTCACTCTCATATTCTCCTGGGACAATAAACCGACACGAACAACGGCTGTATGTGCTTTCCAAGGTACGGAGGTGAAACACGGCCAACTTCCTTACTTCGGGAAGCTACGTTTTTTTTAATAGGATTTGGTGACAAACGAGCACACAGTCCACCTGATGGTAAGTGGTTGCTGTGGCCCATAGACATCTACATCTATACTCGTTTGCGAATCAAAATGCAGATGCGTTATCACCCGTGAGGACTCAGATGGAATGCCTCTTTTCCAGTAAAAAGTCTCCGGTTCTCTACACTCACCATACGAAACACAACAGTGTTAAGCTGCTATTTAATGTATTTATTTAATGTATTTTGTGAGAGCGAGGTACTTCCCCGGTCGAGCCGACCCATTCGTGCTACAACTATACTACTAATATAGCTGCAGCATGGCTCTACCACGTATACTGATTTTTTGATGGAAAAAACTCAAATAACTGATTTTTTTTTTGGCCACCCGGGATGCAGACCTGGAACCTTATGATCAGCAGTCTCGTTTACGACCACTATACCAAAGAGACAGTTAAACTGTAAACAATACTGTTGTGACTTCCTGATTAGTATTGACTGTGAAGACATCTATTGTAATTAATATTATGCCACAAACACATGGTCATAGTACCTGGATACTAAACAGTACATGGGCTCATAAAAATAGACATTTTTTTTATTCAATGTAGTTTATAAATTATACTTATTGAAAGTAATTCTTATGTTTAATTTACCACTGGTTCGGAAAATACCTCTATCCTGGGAAGAACCAGCAAAAACCCAGAGAGACATTTAAAAAAAGAACAGTTTACATTTATATATTATATTACGCAATTAACTACACAAAACATATTAGGAATGGCTTGGAGGTGATCACCTCATACCCAGGGGTTATTATCATTCATAATCTTTAAAATTATAATAACCCTTTTTATACAATCTTTGTTTAATAAAATATTTAAACTTGATGGTCACAAATTTTGTATATTTCTTGGAATTTTGTTGTAAAAGCATAGACATTGCTCCAAGAAAGAATTACTGACTCGGTCGAGTCGAGTACCACTAGCTTGTGTCTGTTCCTTGTATTTAGAGTTAATTGCTAATTTTAAACTACTTTTTTTTTGTGTACATACATTACATTTATTAATATATTACATTTTCATATATGTATTGAGAGGCCAAAGTTTCATATAGTATGTATTAATTTCCTTAAATTTTAGTCTTAGAGACTAGGTTCTAAATTGTAGATTTTTTTTATAGGAGAGGGGGCAAACGAGCCTGCAGCTCGCCTGATGGTAAGTGACTAACGCCGCCCATGAATAACTACAACACCAGGGCAATTGCAGATGCGTTGCCGGCCTTTTAAAAAGGAGTAGGCTCTTTTCTCGAAGGTCCCTAAGTCGTATCGGTCCGGAAAAATCGCTGGGGGTAATCGATTCCACAAGGAAGTTGTGCGAGGGAGAAAACTTCTTCTAAATCGCACAGTGGTGGACTGCCAATCATTCAGATGGTGTGGATGGTATAACGAGTTTTGTCGCGATGTGCGATGGTGAAATTGAGCGACTGGAATTAGTTCAAAATATTCCTCAGAGCACTACCCGTGATAGATGCGATAAAATACGCAAAGAGATGCAACATCTCTACGCAGTGCCAGTGAGTCAAGCCGATTAGAAAGAACTCGGTCGTCCACGGTTAGAACCGCTCTGCGCTGGATGCGGTCAAGTGGAAGGAGCTGGCACTGGGGAGCCCCTGCCCAGAGATGGGAACAGTATTCCACATGAGGCCGAACCTGCGCCTTGTAAAGTTGCAATCGGTGTGCTGGCATGAAAGACTGTCCCGCTCTGCTGAGCACGCCAATGAGGCCAATTTGGCCTTCCCTTCCAAGTGACCACGAAACTGCACGTCACTCGATATGTCGACACCGAGGATACCGATACTGGCTGAGGCAACAAGGGGAGTGCCTTGAAACTGAGGAGATACGACAAAGCGGTTCTTTTTAGCGGTAAACGCGCAAACTTGTCTTCTGAGGATTGAATTGGACTACATTTAGTTGCCCCCAATCCGAGACTTTGTTCAGCAAAGACTCGACTTCAGACACAAGTTTGTTCCGGTACTCGGCGACGTTTTCCCGAGAAATATTGGCACGGCCGGTGTATAAAGCATCACCAGTGCTGTCGTCTGCATAGCAATGAATGTTACTGGTTTGCAACATATCATTGATGTGCAGAAGAAACAGCGTTGGTGATAGCACGCAGCCTTGTGGAACACCAGTGTTAATGGGCTTGTAATCGGAGCATGCACCGTCTACTACGACCTTGATGCTCCGATCTGCAAGAAAACTGGTGATCCAATTGCACAATTTCTCGGGAAGCCCATAGGAAGGCAGCTTCGAAAGAGGCGCTTTGTGCCAAACCCGATCGAAAGCCTTCGCTATGTCTAAACTAACGGCCAACGCCTTCCCTTGGACTCCACTGCCTCCGTCCATCTATGAGTTAGGTAACCCAGAAGATCACCAGCTGAGCGACCTCGACGGAAACCATACTTGCGGTCACTAATCAGCTGGTGATCCTCAAAGTACCGCATGAGCTGGCTGTTAATAATGGTTTCCATTACTTTGGAGAACAAGGAGGTCGAGGTCGTCATGGGCCAGTGAGTCGTCCACCCTGTTTTTAAGAGCGCCGGTGTTTACATCCCGGGACGTTGATGCGTCAGCCCAGGCTTGGTAGCACTCCTGCTTATAGCGTGATGCTATTTTACAGGAGCGACAAACCATGGCTGGGATCTGCCTCCGATGGGCACCACAGAGGATAGAATAAAAAGTTCCATACCCTGAAGTACCACATCAGCAACAGTATCGGCAATAACGCTGGGATCTTCCGGCGAGAAGCAAACCCGCCCCCAAGGGTAGGATGCAAAAAAAGACCGCATCCCGTCCCAATCGGCCGACCTATAGTGCCAAACACGGCGGCAAGCTGCAGATAGCAACTACGATGGGAGCGTGAGTGGCACCGTACTCCGGATCAGACAATGGTCCGAAGAGCCCAGAGGGGCATCGACGGAGACCTGATATCTGTCTGGATGAGAGGTCAGCAGAAGGTCCAACAGGGAAGGTACATGATCCTCCACATCTGGGATCCGCGTAGGCGAAGTAACCAGTTGTGTTAGACCATATGCCAAGGCAAGGTCATAGACAGATCTACCCGCATGATCGGTTAAACGAGAACCAAGCCATTCAGCGTGGTGGGCGTTAAAATCACAGAGTATCACGATTTCTGCGGATGGGATCTGTTGTAGCACGGAGTCTGCAGTCATTTGGACATGGTCGATGAGTCGGTCTGTTTCGGCATTACCGCTATGGGACCTATAGAGGCACCCGTAGACGCGGGGATGTTCGTCGCTGTCTACGCGCAGTTATAGGATGGACAGGTCCGTACCTTCAAGACTGCCGAGGCGTCGAAAACAGATGTCCTCTCTGACGTATACGCACACTCCAGCCCGGGGCACAAAGGAGTGTTCAAATTTGTACCCCGGGTAGGAGAGATATGAAGTATCAGCCGTCCACTCGCCCAGAGCAGTATTAGTCGCAAGCGGAATTTTGCACCCCCCTCCCCCCTAGAATACGCGGGGCAGCCTGAGCAACCACGCTCAGGAGTGGAGTAGGAGGGATTCTCCAGGGGTGCTGGTGCTGGTACCCTCCTGGGGTAGTTTTTTGTTTAATTCTGCTACCATGTTGATGGGGGGGCGGGGAATTGGGTCTCCGGCCACCTGCACTCACCAAGCGGAACACAGAGGTAAACCTCTACTTCACGCTGGTATTCTGTGAGGTCGTGGTACTACCCAGGTTCGAGCCGGCCCATCAATTCGACAGCAAAAGCTGCCGCGTGGCTCTACCACTGTTCGATTGCTCTTATGGCCCACTTCTGCAAAACAAATATAATTTCAGTGTCAGTCGCATGTCCCCATAGCGAAATATCGTTATGAAATGTAATAGCTAAAGGAAACAAGTCTTGGTGTTTCAACACTGGTAAGATTTCTCATCTTTTTTACAGCATATGCTGCAGGACTAAGTCTACTTGCTAATTTTAATATATGGGGGCCTTATTGAAGCTTCACATCTAGTGTGATTCCAAGAAAAATGGTGGTATCAATGAGATTCAGGGGCTAGATTTTTCTTTATTGAATAAGGGTGACAAACGAGCACATAGTCCATCCGATGGTAACTGGATGCTGTGGCACATTGACATCTACATCTATGGCCGTGCACCTGTCGGATGTTAAATAATTTAAAAATAAAAACTTTGTGCAACCGACTTCAATATAAATTATCAAGAATAACTCAAAACTATTGGTCAGACCTTAATCAAATTTATATGGGACCACATGTGAAGCACCTGCTTTCAAATGAAAAAAGGAATAATCGAAATTGGTACACCCACTAAAAAGTTATAAGGTAACACACATAAAAAAAATACAGTCGAATTAAGTACCGTCTCCTTTTTGAATTCGGTAGATAAAAAGTTCAAGTGTCTTAAAAAAGTCAAAACTAAAAGCAACTGTTGCACATGTTGCAGTGCTACTAATGCCGAGCTGATATTTCAGTACCGTTATCTATCTTATGAGCAAATTTGAAAATTTTATTTGAAATAAAAAAAAGATAAAACTAAAACGCAAAGTATAAAGTAGAACATGTACTGAGTAAGAGAATCCACTACCCCATATCATTATGTGGGTATCATAAGAGACAACAGAGGGAAACTAAACCGGGAGACAGGTAGTAGAATCTTACTGATAACAGCTTAATAAATAACTAAAAATAAAAAATTTAAAAACCCCCGAAACAAAATAAGCTGATGATCTTCAAGCGGCTGAAAATATTTTATTGATACATAGCTAAGAACACTCGATCAAGTTACTTTTTAAAGAAAAGGAACTAAATCTAAATCGGTTCATCCATTTGGAAGCTATGATGACACAGACAGATTTATAGATTTCATATATATTCATACATTCCCCTCTGTTTTCATCGGGGGTTAAAAAAAGCCACTTGCCAAGTGTGGTAAATGTAGGTGATTGATAGCATGCAGGTAGTCAATGAATGCAGAAGGCTCAGGACCGTATTTTGGGGCAATCTATTGAGGAGACCTGAAAGTCCGGCAATCTATTGAGGAGAAAACTGGACTTGTGATGGGCTGTAATTATTACAATGGTAAAACAATGAAATATCATTGAAAAATGCCTATTTTATTATTATAATGATAACGATTAACTCCATCAGTATTACTTATCTTACTATTAATGCAAAAGTAGAAAATGAAAATTCTATTTATAAAAATAGAAGTTTATGTTATATCATTTATCAGTACTATTTCTGTAACTAATGTATAAACTGAATAAATAAATTGCAATTCCATTGTTTCATAGACAAAAGATCATAACAAAAGAATAACATGCATATTAATGTGATTATATGTATATATACTATATGGACACTGGTACAAGTCAACTTTTTTTTTAACTGAATAAGGTTGACAAGTGTGTAAGCACTCCACTTGATGGTAAGTGGATTCTTTGTTGAGGATAGATATGGGCTGCAGACCATAGACATCTACATCTATCCTTTACTTAGAATCAAAATGCAAATGTGTTGTCACCCCTGAAGACTAGATGCCTTGTTACCAGTAAACAGGGTTTCCAGTTATCTACACTCACCATACAAAATACAAAGTGTAGGGCGACCCCTCCACTAGATAGAGTAACGACCTGGTAAAACATGGAGGAAGTTGATGGATGCAGTTGGCTCAGAATCGTACTTTGTGGCATTCCTCAGGGGAAGCCTATGTTCAGCAGTGGTCTTGTGAAAGGCTGTAATGATGATGTGGTCTTACCCAGTTGAGCCGATCTATTCATGCTGTAGTCATAATACAGCTGCAGCATAGTTCTACCATGTAACGAATTAAAATCCTATGTACAGAATATGGTCTACATGGTTCACACATACATTATAATAGAAGGATGCTGGACGAGGAATATGTCCATGTGTCATTGATTTTAGAAAAGAAAAAGGTGATGCACTGGCAGTGTGTATATTTACACTAACCATTGTGAGTCAAGCCATTTTATTTTTATCACTGACTATATAAAATACCCAGACTAGGGTCGAGGAGCAGTGTAAAAGGTGAGTGTTGGTTCAATATGCCAACATCAATCCACTTGCCAAGCCTACCTATTAAGGCAAATCCTCCATAGAATGGGAAAGGTCCATGTCCAGTAGTGGGCATTTATTGTATGACAAAGGCGTAGCTATTGCTATGTACAATTTTTTAAAGGCTATTAGGATTTAAAATGTAAAAAAACAGTAACAAAAATTTTAATTTTATATGATCTTATAATGAGAAATAGTAAATGAATTTATTTATTTAATAAAGATTATAGGTAAGTATTATTTATTGAAAGTAATTTTTATTGTGTAACCACTTGTACATAAAATACCTCTAACTTGGGAAACACCAGCAAGAAACCCAGCAGGACTTACTTTTTAGAAAAAATAATAGTGTACAATAATATATTTTGATGTACAATTAACTGTACAAATCATGTCATAAACAGCTGGGTAGCAAATAGTGATCACCTCATTCTTAGGGGTTATTATTATCCATAAATTCCTTGATATTATATTATTAAAACTTTTTATACAATCTTTGTTTAATAGTTTTTGAAGTTGCCACTAGTTCTAGACATTGGAAGCAAATAGAATCAGTACTTCAGAATACATTTGTAGCAGTCTTGTAGTTGAAATCTTCCAAATATTCACAAATGGTTGCAAATTAAGGTTTTACATAAGAATAGCCTGATTGTCAATGAAAAAATAAACAAAACATATTAAATTATTACCTGTTTGTAATGGAATTCCATAAATTATATTTCCTATAAGACTAATTTGATTTTTATTGCGATTGTTATTTCCATAGAATCATGAAATGGTTATATTATATGATGTAATTGCAGAAAACAGACCCACACTGGGATCAAGTTATATGAAAAAAAAAATTTTTAAGGTTTACTTTGATATGCATATCATTCACAGTCACATGGTTACAGTAGATAAAAACAAAATTAACAAGTTGATGTAAATCATTATAATTATAGAATTTACAATAAACAAAATGGTTGAAATTTCTTATCAAAATGTGAAGTCAAAATTGAGGACAATCAAGAGATAATGCTGATCAGTAGTTTTATATTTATATACAATGGTGAACATTGTTTTGAAAGTGATAACAAAGCGGTTTTCGTAATCAAAATATTTGCAATGCAGATGCAGCTCATACTAAAGTTGGTGTAAATTAAAAATTAGCATCGTAACACTTAAGCTCAATTAAACACTCGGGGCAAATTAGCCTTGGGTAACGTGCATAAACACAATAATTCTATTCCTTAATTGATATTCGTAACTCCAAAGCAACAAAACCAAACTATAAGTTCGTTATACAGAAAACAAGAAAGAAACCAAATACACTTACATATAAAATTACAGCAATGTGCGTAATTAAATATCAATGTCAGTTTTGCAACAATAACACAATACCATTAAAATTTGACAAAGAAATAATTCATATGGCGAAAATTTACTAACTACGACTGAATCTGTGAATCACACTTCAAAGATCACATCACAGCATCATACAGAAAAATTTATGTCAACTCAATTGTCAAATCAAATTGACTTGACTGTTATTATGATAACGTTCATAACTACAAAATTAAACAAAGCGTTCTTTCATTCTATAGTTATTGTATACTATTGAAGATATAATAAAGATTTAAATGTAGATAGATAAATATTTTTATGTACAGTGCAAATGAAATAATAATAATTTTAACGTATTAAATAAAATTATTCTTATATAAATTACATACAATACAAATATGGACAAGGTTTTCGAACGTATTCTTTAGCTTCAATGAGGGCTAATAATTTTCTGCTCACCAGATGTCGCTAGCACGAGCAGTAATCAAAGAGAATATTATAATCACTACGTTTAATAGGTTCCCATAGACTTAGGATATACTGGACTGGCGTGTAGACGACCTGACAGCCCGAAAACGCGTGACCAATTTTGATTTGTTATTGTGTGAGTTGGCTAGTGATGTACATTTTACTTAAAAGGGCTATCGAAAAATTTTTCTTCAGATATCGGTATAAAGACTAAAAAACTAGTTTAGTGCACAGAACTGAATAACTTTTGAGCACTAAACTATTTTATTAAAAATTAACTAAATTTTTACCATGATAGTTTTAAAATAACTAAAAATATTCAAATAACATGTTACCGGGAACAACCTGCACCAACTGTCTTTTCCATCATCCATAATCTATTACAGCCTATAAAAATCCACTGCTCAACATGGGCCTCCCTATAGATTGCCTCATATTTATATATTATGATATTTGCCATCGCTTGGCCAGCGGGTTGTCAACCACAGTTTTTTATTATTTCGAGTTGTTATCAGGAAGATGCTGCTGTCCATCGCCTCTTTCAGTTTCCCTTTGTCGCCTTTTATGACACACATGGGACGATATTGGGTAGTGGAAATTCTTTCACCGGCACCACTTGCCTTTTGTTGGACTTTAATTCAAAATGTACAAAATTGCAATAATATCTGAAGAGGCGAGGTAAGTCTACCGATGAAATGAAACAATTTTCTCCAACAATCAGATCGGAAAGTTATATTTTTGACCTTTGGAGAAAAATGCTTAATGCCATTTACAATTTCCTCGGAATTTATTTCTTTTTCAACATAATGTTAATCTAATATAAATAAATAATATAAACTTAATTAAGTATCTACCTATTTATATTTCATAAAATGTTTTACTGGTAAAATATAAAACGAGGACACGCAGTATATTATGGCTGCTTTATTTTTTATATAATTATTACCTTTAATATTTATAAAACAGAATCGGAAACAGAAACAAAAAAACAAAATCATTTAATCTATACTAATATAATAAAGTGGAAGAGTTATTTTGTTTTTTTTTTGTTTGTTAAACACGCTAATCTCTGGAACTACCAGTTCAAATATAAATTTTTTGTATATAATAGCCAGATTCATGAGGAATAGTATAGGCTATCTAGTTTATAACTATCAGCTAACCTTATATATTGATTTTTGTTAAGCAAGTCGGAAGAAAATGCGCTCTCTAACTGCTTTATCCACGTGCGCTAGCGTAACGTTTAGTATTACATAAATACGATGTTCTACAAAAATATTGGTCTTTGCTCCATCTAAAAAAAAGTCTGCGATACTTGGACTATAGAAATGTATTGTGACAGCAAATTTTCGTAATTCTTCGTTATATTTGGATGCAGACACTATTTTACCACATTTTTTAACATTAACCCTGTTAATTAAATTCTGTAGTAATTCATTGCTACATGCCATGGTGATATCACTATAGTGATCTTTCAATCCTTCAAGCATGTTTTGCAATGTAACAATTATTTTAGCCTGTCTTTTAGTTTTTGCTGCTAGCTACGTATTTTCTTTTGTTTTTCTTTCAGCTTTTGTTTTAATTTCTCGATTTTAGATAAAAGTTTTTTTTTCTTGGTGTAAATTGATCATTTGTTTCTTGTGATTTCAAAGGTGGAGGGGTTATGTCACGAGTGATATATGATAAGGCTACTCTTTCTTCTATCTGTCCCTGAAAAATATAAAGTAATAATAAATTTAATATCATTTTAGCTGCATGAATTTAAAAAATATAATGGTCATAACATAGACAAGTCAAATACGCTGGAGACATTAAAGTGCAACAAGTGTCGGAGGATACAGATGCACTCTTCTTTTTTCTCAATCGCAGTACGTTAAGAAAACGGTCACCCACACATGGACCGACCGCAGCAAGTGCATCTTTATCTTGCAGATCTATTGATCTACGCAACTGTTACTTAACTACGAGTTCCTCTTCTCTACGAGTAACGCAGTAGGTAATGAACCACACTATCAAGCCCTCGGCACACTGTCATCGAGCTTCAAGCATGAATCGGACATCAAGCGTTGCGCGTATCAAATACTATGGAATTTATACTATCCTGGTACACTAAATCGCGCGCCTCATGGCATCTAGTGGCGCTTCAGGAGCATTACTCAATAACCATACCTAACTACGCTAAAAGTTTTATCATTGTGACTTAGGAATATATTCCAAAGCTCCGCACAACCCCTTGGGGAAAATATATAATAATAGAGATAGAGTTTTATAATGTAAAAAAATCTCTATTTTTACCTTAAGTTTTTGAAGTTAAATTTTTATACCAGCGTAAAATAGCAGTTTAACACTGCTGTGTTTCGTATGGTAAGTGTAGAGAACCGGAGACCCTTTTTACTGGAAAAAAGGTATTCCATCTTAGTCGTCAAAAGAATCAAAATGCAGATGCGTTGTCACCCGACAACGCATATGTATTTTTATTCTTTATTAAGGATGTAGAATTTTCGTCTAGTTGGGATATATAAATACATAATATAAAAGTGAAGAAAAGTTATAGTAGTAGCATACCAGCGTAAAATAGCAGCATAATGCTGCTGTGTTTCATATGGTGAGTGTAGAGAACCGGAGACACTTTTTACTGGAAAAGAGGCATTTCATCTTAGTCCTCACGGGTGATAACGCATCTGCATTTTGATTCGCAAACGAGGATAGATGTAGATGTTTATTGGCCACAGCAATCACTTATCATCAGGTGGACTGCATGCTCGTTTGTCACCCCATCCTATAAAAATAAAAAAAAAGATGTCTTATTATAACAATAATATACTTACTGGTACAAATAATGTAGGAATGGCTCCTTTTAATAAAGTTGTATTTACTTTGCTTTTTCTTATATATTTCTCAATAAAATGTTTACTACAAAATAGTAGAGTTCTTCTTAGGATTCAAACCAACTAATCCCAACCATATTTTTCTAACTAAAGGATCCAGAGGGAATCTGTTTGACAAACGGCAAAATAAAATTTTGTTTTTAGAACGCAAATCGAACATTTAATTTTATTCTTCTTTTTGTTGTGCATAAAAGTCTATCGATTCTTTATACACATTAAAGATAAATATCGACATTAATTTTGATATAGTTGAGTCAATCCCTAGCGTAAATGTAAAATATTTTGTTTAAAAATTAATTTACCAAAATCATACAAATAATCAACAATGTGACTTTGTTCTTTGCAAAATATCAAAATTAATAAAGTAACTGAAAATATTACATATTTTAAACAGTATATAACATAAATTTTAAGCAAAAATAGACGTGTCTTATTATTGACGACGTCTTGCGAATTTACCTGTTAAATGTGCAACCATCAGCATTACTTCTATTGTTGATACCACAGTTACTAACGGAACATGAAACCATTTTGGAAAACTATAAATTATACAAGTCAACACTATTATAATCTGAAAACAAACAAAATATCTACAAGCTTATTTCTTGCGCACCGACTTGCGCCGACCTGTCATTCAAAATCGGTTACAGAGTCATGAGATTTGGTATCCTTTTCTATCTTGCATTTTTGCCATAAGGAATTTTCTTCTCCATTGCACACTATGTTGGGCTATACGTATATCCTAAGTCTATGGGACTTCCATAGTAATAGCACAGTATAATAATCATATAGTAATAAACATATAATATGGATTTATAGACTGTGGTAATAGTAAGGCCGGCCACATACATACGGAAACCCGTTTTGCCCGCAAAATATCGAACGGAAAGCTACCGTACGTGTGTGTCGGGTCATAGGCTTTATATGAACTTGCTGTGTTCGGAATATCGAATCGGAAATGTGAAACGGAATTCCGTATGTATGTGACCGGCCTTAATGTATGAAAGTACGCCAAGACACTCTACCAACATCAAGATATGACATTTAGTTTTGACAAACAGTGCTGGCAACATTGACGATGTACAATAGTGCCATGGCCAAATGTCTATACTCGAATAATTTTATCGATATAACCTTTATTGATATATTGTTTATCGATATTTTTACATAATAAAAGTTAGATCTCTATACTGAATTTTATGAAAAATAGATTTTTAAAGTGGGTATTGCGTAAAAACGCCGATGGGGATAAGAAACCAATGTATTTTACACACAGCAATTTATAATTATATCTCTACAATTATTAGGTAAAAATATATATAAAGAAAATATAAAATAAAAAAGCATTATTACGCTAGTAATTAATTAAGTAAAAATAAATGACGACTCTGTAGCGCAGTGGCTAAGCGTTTGGCTATGGCATTGCAGGACCGAGGCTTCGTTTTCGCGCTGAACAAGTGTTGCTATGCTGTAGAATAAGTAGTCTGCGGCTGGATGCTTGTTTTATTTTGTAACAAATACTATATACAAATCTCTAGGCTTCTTCACAGAGGTACATACTACTCGCAGAGATCGTTTACTGTTTGTCGCTTTAAAAATGAGTGCTCATTAAAGCTAATGTTTGTAGATGAATCTTTAAAAAAAAATTTTTAACCTGGTAATTACCAATAACTTTGAGTTTAGTTATATAATCAAATTCTTACCAAAATGTGACTTTAGGGGGATATTATCTTTTGCTACATGTAAATGAAACCAAATTAACATACACATAATTGA